ACGTCGGCCAGCTCTTCGCAACCGTGAGCGCTCAGCAAGATGTCATCCAGTCGCAGCAACAAATGCTGGGACACCTCTCTGCCGCCCTGTCCACCACGCAGTCAACCCTTTGCAGGATGAGCATGCCAACCGTTGCCACCCTGGCAACGGCTCCTGGCACGACTTCAAGATGGAGCGGTGGCGTGCTGGCCAACAACGGGCTCATCTATGGCATTCCATCGTCAGAAACTGCCATCCTTATTCTCGATCCCAGCACAAACACCATGGACACCACCACAATGACCAATCTGCCGAGCACAGATTTCAAGTGGCAAGGGGGCGTGCTCGCCAACAACGGCCTCATCTACGGCATCCCGTTCTTTGCGGGGTCCGTGCTCATCATTGACCCTGCCACAAACACCGCAGACGTCACCACCATCGCCGGCCTCAGAGATGACACCCCCAAATGGGCGCGCGGTGTGTTGGCCGATGACGGCCGCATCTTCGGCATCCCTTACATATCCTCTTCCGTTCTCATCATCGACCCCAGCACCAACACAACCAACACCACCAGCATGGTGGCTGCCGTGAGCGGGAAGTGGTTTGGGGGCGTGGCTGCCCCCAACGGGCTCATTTATGCGCCCCCTTATGATGCAGACGCTGTGCTTGTCATTGACCCGATAAACAACACCACCGCGGTCATATCTATGGCCGACAGGGACAGTTCAAGCGCTCTCAAGTGGATGGGGGGCGTGCTCGCGCCCAACGGACTCATCTACTGCACGCCATTTGGGGCGCCAGAGGTGCTCATCATCGATCCCGCCACACACACGTTGGATTTGACCACCATCACCGGGCTCGGTACCATGACCAGCAAGTGGGGCGGGGCCGTCCTCGGCCGCGACAACCGCATCTACGCCGTCCCACTGTCCGCAACCTCTGTTCTCATCATCGACCCTGCCACCAACACCACCGACACGACCACCCTCGACACTGGAGCATCAGGAATCGGTTTGTGGACGGACGCGGTGCGCGCGCCAAACGGTGACATCTACGGCATGCCATCCAACTCAGCCTCCCTCCTCGTCATCCGCCCCGACTGCTGATGTGGTGTTGCGGATATTTGCGTTGCGTTGCGTTGCGTTGCGTCGCGTTGCCTAGCGTTGCTGCTTATGCTTATGTACCTGTTTGTTTGTTTGTGTTCTGCTTTGTGTCCATGTAGTGCGAGGATTCCTCCGATGCTTGCTTGTTGTGTTTTCGCTTTCAAGTTCTCGCGCCAAACGCCAACCTGGTTCTATGTATTGCACATTACTCAAATGCCCGGAAGAGTTGAGACTCCAACACACAATAGATTGCTTTCATGTGCTGGGCCAGTGTTGCCTTCACACACGTACACGCACAGGCAGAGAGATACAGACACACAGAGACAAACAAACAAACAAACGAACACACAAACAAACAACAAACAACAAACAAGCAAACAAACAAGCGAACACACACACACACACACACACACACACACACACACACACACACACACACACACACACACACACACACACACACACACACACACCACCGACAAGCAGCGTCACACGAGCTTTGCGACGCGGGAGATGGTGACGAGTTCATCGTAGTCGTTGCCGTCGTTGTACATGTCCTCCAAGTCACGCATGGCTGCCTCCTCAATTGCAATGCACTGCATCGCCCGCTGCCGCCGCCGCTGCACACGTGCGCGCTCCGCCTCAAGTTCCCGGAGAAATTGTCCGGGCGTCTGTCCGCCCTCAACAGCGGCCTGCATCGCTTTCTGAAGACTCTTCTCCGTTGTGGATTTCCACGCACTCTTCACACCGCCGCCAAGACCACCGGACGAAACGCCCGATGACAACGCGCCCGCCTTCACACTCGGGGACGATGATGACGACGGTGGCGTTGCTTTAGGTGCACTGGCCATGGCAGAAAGCGGTGACGATCCAAGGCCAACACCTACTGTCGCTGTTGCTGTCGCTGTTGCTGGCGACGTCACGGGGGCGTGATGGGACGCGCCACCACTCGACCACCGCGACGGCAACGACGACGGTGGTGGTGGTGACGACGACGACGACAATGAAGAGGACACGGCAGTGGATGAAGCTGCCGATTTTCCCGTGAACAGGTTGGATGCGTCACCACTCACCGTTCGCTGCCGCCCGCCACGCGACTTCTGCTTCGTCTTGGCCTTGCCCTTCAGCTTGCCCTTCCCGCCCGCGCTCGGCTGGGCATACTCCCGCTCAAGCGTGGCCTCCAACTCCAGGTCGTGGAAGGAGCTGTGCAGTGGCACGTGCGGTGTTGGGCGCGCAGCAATGGCTTCAGCCCACGCCGATGACGACGACGATGGTGATGGTGATGGCGGTCCCACACGCTGCGCTGAAGCCAAAACTGTGGATGCTGATGTTGGTGTTGGTGTCGATGCCCACTGAGGTTTCGTGCCTGAAAAGTGAGGCGGTGGTGTTGTCGCGTGCGTCGCCGCTGCCTTCCTGCGTTGCGCACGTGTGCGTGTGTCCGGTGCTTTCGCCGCTGTCCACGCGGACGGCGCTGAGGACGAGCGCGACACAGCACCAGCAGTCAACGGCAGTGACGATGATGACGACGAAGATGGGGGAGGCGATGATGATGATGATGATGATGAGGCAGCATTGGTGGCCATTCTTCGTCCTGCCAACTTGTCAGCGAGCGACAGAGGTCGTGTCACCACCTGTTCCTTTCTTCTCTTCTCCGCCTCCTGCTGCCGCCGCCGCTGTTCGGCTTTCTTCTTCTTCTCCTTCTCACGCACGTGCTTCTCTTCCTCGGCCATAATGTCCAGTAGACTCGCTGGCTTGCTGGACGCACTTGCTGCTTTTGAGGGCTGGTTCGAATCAACGGTTGTCGGCGTGGTGGCGGCGGCATGTGTTGGTGGCGGCGGCATGGCTGGTGTTTGCTTGGAGGGGGGCTGCAGCGTGGCCGGCGACGTTTGCGTGCGTTTCACTGCACTTGCTGAAGTGCTCACCCACGTGTGTTGTTGTTGTTGTTGTTGTTGTTGTTGTTGTTGTTGTTGTTGCTTGGCCTTGCGCTTGTGCCGTTTGCTCACTGCGGTAACCAGTGACGATTCAGAGAGTGATGGAAACGCGCCCGCGTCCCGTTGCTGCTTCGATCCCTCCACGCACTGCTCACCATCACCACTTCCAACTTGTTGCTGTTGTTGGTCCGGTTGTGTCGCTGCAGCTGCCGCCTCTTCGCCCTCATGCTGCTGTTGTTGCTGCGGCTGCTGTGACAACTTCTTCTTCTTCTTCTTCTTCTTCTTTGCTTTCTTACCCTCTGCTTCACTCCCGCGGCGTCCTGGTCACACACACACACACACACACACACACACACACACACACACACACACACACACACACACACACACACACACACACACACACACACACACACACACACACAAGGACGCCATACAAGCACACAAACGAAAGCGATTTCGATGAGTTGCTGTGTGGATGTGCATGTGCATGCGCACACGCGTGTGTTGATGCAAGTGCAATCGGCCTTTGCATGCTGTGCGCGCCAATGATCTTACCTCCAAACATTTCCTCCACCTCTGGCCTCGTCACTAGCGTCTGTACAGCTCGAAGTACCCCTGAACACACACACACGCACAAGAATGTGTGTTGTGCATGTGAGGTCAAAGGCAACAGGGGTATGGGCGTGGTGCTCTGTGAATCCCACGTGTACACTGCAATCAGCTCGTCCAAGATCTTGGAATTAAGAGAGTCACCACAATCAGTAGCAAAACCACAGCCACAGCCAGCACGAACCACAGCCAGCACGAATCACAGCCAGCACAATGACGAATGACCACGAGCAACACCTGCTTCTGTGAGGCCGTGGCGTTCAATGGCCCAGTTCGCCGCCGCGCGGGAAAAGCCCATGCCCATCAACTGTACCAGCACTTGCTCACGCCGCGGCAGCGCTGGCGGTGGGTGGTTTGGGGTTTGTGTGTGTGTTTGGGCGTGTGGTGGTGGACAGTGCAGTGGTTGAAACAGGCGCACAAAGAGAGAACACCTTCAACACACACACACACACACACACACACACACACACACACACACACACACACACACACACACACACACACACACACACACACACACACACACACACACACACGCACGCAAGTAAAAGCACGCCCATCTGTTCATCTCACCTGCAAGTTGTTCGCGTGAGAGAGTGGGCATGGCCTGTTCACCGTTCTCACGACCACCACCACCTCCACCACCATCGCCGCCGCTCGTTCCATTGGACACATCTGCCCTCCAAATGGGCGGGGCTTCATCCTCTCCTTTGTCGTCAGTGGCGCCGGTCCGCGGATCCACCGTCCGGTATGGAATGAGGTGCAGCAAGTCTTGGAGCAGCACGAAGCGAGGCCACGAGCAGAACAGCGTCGAATGTGAGCAGACCAATACGGGCAGGCACGTACCAAAGACACACACACACACACACACACACACACACACACACACACACACACACACACACACACACACACACACACACAAAACGATACACGCAGGCACACACAAACACACACACACACACACACAACGATACACGCAGGCACACACAAACACACACACACACACACACAAATGACGCAGACCTGCATCATAGTCCGTGGCCGGCGTTGGAGAAGCGAGGACGAGTGGCCGGCGCGGAAGACTCGCAGTATACACGCGCGTGACATCAGTGACAATGTGCTGTGGGGGCAGTGCGCGTTGGAGTGGAGGTGGAGAGGTGAGGCGTTGGCAGTGAAGAAGGCACAAGCACATGGTCACACAGACACACACACACCATCACACAGACACACAGACACAGACACACACCATCACACAGACACACCAACACACGCAAACACCATCACACACACACACACCATCACACGCAAACACCTTCTCAAGTGATTCTCACCTCGGCGAGCTTGCTGAGGGCGCGTTGACACAGCAGCAGCTCCAGGTTGCGGACAATGACGTGCGCGCACGCGTAGTAGAGGTGTGTTGCGTTGAAGGTGTCCGCAAATTCAATGAACGACACCACGTTGTGTGACGCAATCTGCGATGCCAGCGCCTCCTGTGCCGCCGCGTGCACGTCCTCCAGCATTACGTAATCCGCAAACACTTGGAAGCACACAAGCGGCAACGCACGTGAGCACGCGATGAGGAAGAAGAGGAGGAAAGAACGGAGTGCAGCGTGGGTAGGCAGAGTAGCAAGCGGCAGCAACAGCAGGAACAACAAGAACAACAAGAACACCAACAGCAACAACAGACACACGTTCAGACAAACAGCAAGAACAACAACAACAATGCATGCGTTATCGCCTCACCAATGAGGTCCTTGAGTTGATTTGGACGCAGGTCATCAACACTGAGCTGCTGATGGAAGATGGAACGGTGGCACTGCTCCCACAGCACCGGTGAAAGCTCAACCTCCACTTCCATCACCTCCTCCACAAACGCCGCATCCACCACGTCAGCGTCAGCGTCATTGCACCACTCACCAACACCCCACACGCCCACATCCCTTTCCTGCTGTGCCCTCCGTGCCTTTGTCTCACCCTCCTTCGTATCATCGCCTCCATCACCGTGGCTGCCGGCACTGGTTGTGTTGTGACCACCACCACCACCACCATTAGGCATCGCATCAGCACCACGACAGCTTGCTGTCCTGCTCCTGCTCTTGCTGCTGCTGCTGCTGTGGTTTCGTCGACGGCCCTTGCCACGACGATGATGATCACCACCACCACCATCACCACCACTATGATCAGCAGTACCACCGCCACCACGAGCAGCAAGACTGGTCGCCACGTGCTGCGCTTCGTCGATGGCCGCGCGTTGCACTGGATCATCGTTCCAGCGATGGGAAAACATGGCCCCGAAATACGGCGATGAGGCAGCGAGCACCGAGCTGGGCAGCATGAAGCGTGTATTGCCGCAGCACACAGCAACGTCGCAGTTCCCCACGGCGTGAGTGTGGATGAACTCGTTCCCGCTCAACAGGAAGGTGACAACCTCTGTCATCTCATCGCCTTCCTCCTCATCATCATCAGCAGCAGCAGCGTACTCACGGCTGCCGTGTCTGTCGTGTTTTTTGCGCTGCCGCTGGTGTTGTTTCTGCCGCTGGTGTTGTTGGTGTTGTTTCTTGCTACCCTTGCCCTGTTTCCTGCCTTTCTTCCCTTTGCTCCCATAACTGGCACTGGTGACAGCACGAGTCTCCATCCCGCCGTTGCTTTCATCGTCGTCATCGTCGTCATCAGCAGTAACGGTGTTGCGTTCGCTGCACAGAACAGCGTGCACAGCAGCGTCAAACAGCACGGCGTGTCGTTCCAGTGCTCGCTGTCTCGCTTCATCGCTGCTGTGGTCGTCGCCATCGTCCTCGCCACCACGGGAACCAGCAGCATCATTGTTGCCAGTGCCGCTGTTGTTATTCTTATTGTTGTTGTTGTTGTTGTTGTTGTTGTTGTTGTTGTTGTTGTTGTTGTCATCATCATCATCGTGGTGCGCATGCGTCTCCAGCAGGCGCTTCAGTTCGTTCCGCTTTGGCACATGGCGGTACACGCGGCGGTACTGCTGGCGGTGCGCCTTCACACGCGCCAGCATGGCGTTCACAAACCACGTCGCCTTGGTTGCAAGCTGACCACGCAGCCCATCACATGCATATGCACGCGCACGGGCAATAATCTCCTCTGCCATCTCAAACTGACCCACGTTGCAGAGGACGTCCACCAGTTCGGGGAGAGAGATGTCGTGAGTGGCGGCGAACGCACGTGGTAACAGCACACGCGCACGCAGCGCTCCTGCTGCTGTTGCTTCTGTTGCTGTTGTGCTTGGTTCGGCGGCTTCATGGGTCGTTGCATCCGTGGCAGATGCACCCTCGTGCTGCTGCTGCTGCTGCTGCTGTTGCTGTTCATCTCGTTGCTGCTGCTCATCCTCTGTCTTTGTGTGGTCTTCGTCTGGTTGTGTTTGCTCCTGCGCGGCTCCGCTTCCAACCTTCGCCACACCTTCCGCATCCTCATTCTCATCCTCGTCCTCATTCTCGTCATCATCGTCGTCGTCGTCATCATCATCGTCGCCATACATGAGCTCAAACTCATCAACACCATCCCCCTCCTCCTGCACCACCACACGCTGTGCTGCTGTTGTCGTCGCGTCACCGCTTCCATCACCGCTTCCACCGTCACCGGGTGCGGGGGCAACACCAGATGGTGTTGGCGTCAGTGCGTCTGCGAGCGCCTCTTCAGGGTTGTCCAGCATAGCCTGAATGCGCGCGTCAAGCGCACTCATCACAGCTGGCGGCGTCGACCCATCCTGTGACCCATCCTGTGACCCATCCTGTGACCCATCCTGTGACCCATCAAGATCACCATCTGCACCAACGTCGTCATCGTGGTCGTCTGCGTCGCTGATGCTGGCGATGGTGGTGTCCACACTGGCTGCATCATCATCCACATCATCATCACCACCTTCGTGCACACCAGTGTCACCATGTGGAGTGCGATCAGCAGCCGTGTTGGCCTCACCAGCAGCGCTGTTCTTCTCTCGCATTGTCGTCTTCGCAATAGTCGCCGACGACGAGGTCTTGGTCTCACCGCCATCACCATGTGTTTCGTGCGCAACACCGCCAGCATCGCCATCCCCACCACGAGTCGTGGTGGTGGTGGTGGTGGTGGTGGTGGTGGTGGTGGTGTGTTCAGGCGCAGCTGTGGTGGACGACGAGAAGAAGGCAAAGGAACACGTGTGTGATGCAGGGCGCGATGGACGGGTGCGAAATGCGGCGTTTAGGCCCGATTGCGTCAGCTCACGCACGGAGGACAGCACCTCGTCAATGCGCCCCGTGTACAGGAGCCGCAGGACTGAGCGCACGTGCGTATGGGTGAACGCGTTGACCACAAACAATGTCACCGTCCGTCCTGCCACGTCAAATCTGCACGCCAAACACGCGGCGACGTACCATCATAAAGCACATAAAGATGAGCAAAGCGGGTGAATGAAGAGAAGTCAGCAACCACAGACACACAGACATAGAGACAAAATCCCGGACAGAGACAGAGTGATAGCGGTACAGACAAAGCCATATACATCCATGTCCCGATACAGACAGATAGACAGACAGACAGACAGACAGACAGACAGACAGACACACACACACACACACACAGACATACACACACACAACAATAACTGACTGTGCAGCGGTGTCTGCGAGCGTGTCGAGGATGGCCGTTGCCTCTGGGCGACTGCTGAGAATGCTGCTGTGGGCAACAGATGCAGCAAACACCTTCTCATTCTTCCCATGCTGACCGCCCATCATGTCACAGGCTTCGCCACCACCAGCAACAGCGTCCCTGCCCTTCTCAACGCCAGCACCAGCAGCAGCAGCGTTGCGGCTCTTTGCCGGCAGCGGCTGATGTGGTGCCAGGATGATGATGTCAGCCCGGAGCGACGTGAGCGCAGACATGGTGCGGTGCATGCTACCACTGTCACTGCACTCGGGACTGTGCAAGCTGAAGAAAGAAAACACGTCTGGATGCGCGAGGAACGCCGTGTCCATGCATGCAAGCACGGCCCCACCGGCACCAGGCGCCACCGAGCTGTACAATGACGATGGTGATGACGATGATGATGATACTGCTGCTGCTGATGATGATGATGATGCTGATGGCGCACTAGCTTGTCTCTGACCAACATTTGCTGTACCGTCAGTGTTCACACCACAACGACCAGCAGCCACCAGCGTCCGTTCAATCCATGCCAGCGCGCGAGCGGCAATACCGCCTGGCGTCCTCTTCGCCAATGCCTCCACTCGATTTGCACGCGCGTGTGTCTGCCAGCTGCCGGCCGTGTCGGCGAGCACGCAACACATGGTGTACAGTTGCCGTGTGCTCGCCACTGCATTGGGTGCGGCGGTGTGCACGGTGCCTGTGAGCGCAGCCCAGTGCCAATCGTGGTGCAGCTGCGCTGTCGTCTGCCAGTCCGAGCCCGCTGGCTCCTGATACGGCTGCCAGAAGTTCACCTCATCCTCATCAGCACCACCACCACCACCACCACCACCACCACGATGCCTTCGACCAGCAACGGTTGCAGGGGCAACGCTTACACCGGCGCCCACGGCAAACCCACGGCGTCTCTGTTCCTCTTCCTCCTGTTGCTGGCGTTGCTGCTGTTCTGCTCGCTCCGCCTCTCTGCGCTGCCGCCGCTGCTGCCGGCGATAATCGCGTTCTAAATTCGGTGCAGCGTGGTCCTCCGGCTCCTCATCGCTGTCCTCCGAGTCCTCCGCCTGACGCAAGCTCGGGTGAATTTCCTGTACGGGGGCAGCGTACTCTTCTGGAAACAGCGCGGATGGCTGCACGCACGCGTTTGTTTGTGTGTGTGCATGTGTGCGTGTGTGAGGGGGTGTGTGAGTGTGTGTATATGTGTGTGAGTGTGTGAGTGTGTGAAAGTGTGTGTGTATGTGAGTGTGTGAGTGAGTGTGTGTGAGTGAGTGTGTGTGTGTGTGAATGTGCGTGTGTGAATGAAGAAGAGTAAACACATACGTCCGACAACAAAACAATCTGACAAGCAGGCGCGCATATGCATGAAGCAACAGCTGTCGTGCGTACATGGATGGATAGCGGGTTGCGGTACTGCTGGCGAACGGCAGCAAAGTGATATCCACTCGGGCTGCACGCAACAGCGGTTACTTGGAACAACTGCACAGTAGAATCAAGGGGAAAAGGGAGGGGGGGGGGAGAGGAATGGTTGCAGTGCACGTGATGAGTAAGGGGGCAGAGGAGGGCAGTCAGCAAGTGCGAGTGACGCAAACACACACACACACACACATACAAAGTTAGACAATGTGCATGTGTTGGGATTGCGTACGGTTGAGACGGTGGTGAGAGTCACGCCGCGAAGTCCAAGTTTGTCCTTTGCTTTGACGTCATCGACGGTGAATGAGCACGTGCTCACGTGTCCATCCG